GCTCGGAGCGGGGCACCAGGTAGCCGTATCGCCGCCCTCCAGGCTGCGTCCTCTCCGAGGGGCTGGACGTACCTCTGTGCCCATGGAGAAGGCGCAGCGGGGAGCGTGTGCTTGAAGGGCCGTCTTCCACGGGAGGGCTTCGCTTTCTGCGGAGAAAGAGGTGATCAATGGCTTCAGCACACCCTAACTGAGAAAGTGATCTGTCCGCGGGGGAGATGAAATGATTTAGTGTGGCCTCCTCTTCCTCCTTTGTGTTCCTGTGCAGGAGTCTGGACTGCCCTGTTGGATTGTCGGAGTTGAGGTAATGGCTGAAGTTGGTTGGTGGGAGACGGCTGGAGGCCTGGAGCACGGTCTGAGGGTTACACAGCGCCTATGATCTGACCCACAGCCTCGGCCTTCGCTGGGACTGCCAGGATGGGGAACAGTGGCTCAGCCGTGAAGGTCTGCACGGATCACCAAGGAGGCATCAACTGGCTGAGCCTCAGCCCGGACGGGCAGCGCCTGCTCACGGGTAGCGAGGATGGCACTGCACGGCTCTGGAGCACTGCCGACAGCCAGTGCCGTGGCCACTTCCAAGGTACAATAGCTTCTTTTCGCCTAGTTTTTGAGTCTAAAGCATGGCACGGGCCACACAGCATGTCCTGGTCTTTTTCAGTCGTTGCAGCCTGCCGGGCAGCCAAGGTCGTACTGTTTTGTTTTGTGGGTTTATTTGAGTATTTGTTACAGTAATGTTAAGCAGAAGCTGTTTCAACCCAGAACAGGTTACAAGCACTCCTGAATGCATGGGTCATTTTACTGCAGGGTGTGGAACATAGCAGTTGTTTCACTTACGTCTCTTTTCCCTCTGTTTTATACCCTGGTGAAATACTGGCTTTTTGTTATTGTCTCTCTCTTCCTCTTTTCTTCTTCTTCTTTTTTTTTTTTTTTTTTTTTTTCCTTTTAATCATCTCATTTTCCAGGCAATCTTTATTTAGAACCTCTTGACCCAGAAGTCTGGAAAGAAACCTTACTAAATAGGTTATTTTTTTCTCCACATTTGACACACAGAAATGTTAATTGATGGGCTTTTTAATTTTAAATTCATTTTGCATTTTAAACAAAATTTGTTGTCTTTAGACTAGCATCTCAGTAATGAAGAAGAAAATAAAAACTGTAAAAGTATAGTCATGCAGGAGTCAGATGTAGGCTAAAGATGTTTGTATTCTCAGTCACTCATGTTCTTTTCTCTTAATACAGAAAAGAGAAAGCTCTTGAATTTGGAATTTCTAATCCTTTTTTCTTCCAAAGAAGAAATCACGTAGCTGGGATTTTTTTGTTGTTGTTGTTTGTTTGCTTGCTTGCTTGTTTTTAACTATGGGGTATTGTCTTTTTTCCCCACATCCTGCCATGATTCTAGCTCCTGGAAAACTCACTGCATTTGCTTTAGGCTTAGAAATCCGTTTAAACCACTAATTAACTTTTAACTAGAAAGAGAAATATATTGGATAATATTCAGATTCTGGCCTGTGCACTGCTAGTGTTTGGCGTAAACTCTAAAGAAGGTCGGCTAGCTGGTTTGTGAAGTGTCAGTCGAATCAGATAATTGGATGTCTTTTATATTTATGCACACACACAGTTGTTGTGTAAATTTGTGTCCCACAAGCTGTAATTACTGACAAACCTGTGTCTATAACACAGTTTCAAGCTTCCACCACAGCGTAACCAACATACTTTTGACCAGATCAGCACCAGACCTTGTCTGCCACAGGGAGTTTTGCCGTCCTTGGTGTGGCTCAAGTATTACTGGGGTTGAAATCTGACTGACAGACTTCGGTGCAGTAACCAAGATGCTTTATCTTCTGAGAGCAGAGTTATGTGACACTGTGAGAAAAATCCTGGTGGCTGAAACCTGTCCCATTTAAGCTGCTGTGCAAAAAGTTTTCACAAAAAGTTTTCACAAAAATGTGAGGATGGATATGGTTTTGCCTATGGCCTTGGTGATCTGTTTAATTTTTAGCATCTGGTGAATTTGCTTAAGAGGAAGCAAGATGTGTGTTTGTAGCATGGATTCTGCTTTGCTTTTGAACTATAACGAGGCTTTTGAATTACAGGAGTTTTAGTAAAATCTGGTTTTTACTGTCAGTGAAACAAAGTGTTTTACTGGGCAGTCTGCTTTCCTTCAGGGTTTTTGCCATCTCTTTCTTCTACAACGTGATTCTGTTTTTCTAATGTCTTTGTCCATCTGTCTCTCTTTAAACACGTTTGTCCTTCCTCTGTTTTTTCTTTTTCCTCAAAGAACAGTGTTATTTAAGTCACAGCAGGGCCCACCAGCTTCAACCAAAGTCTCAGGTGATCTTGTGATAGTTACTTAAGAGGAAACAGTTCTGATCTTGAAAGCTTACAGTCTAAATAATTAGAACAGAAGAGTTCAGGATAATACTATCCCAATGATCAGGTAGTGACATCAGTTTCACACAAGAGATCTTGGACAAAGCTGGGATTTGAATCCAAAGGTGATTTTTAAATGTGGTGCATTTAGTGATACAGTAGAAAGATGACACAACTTGCTAAGCAACAGCAAAAGCTCAAGGTTGTAATATTGATTCCTCTTTGCTAGCACTACCCTGTTTTTCAGCATGAAATTTTTAGAGTGGTGGTTGTGTCTATTTTTCTTGTAACTGTAGAATCCAAACATACTCTGAATAATGTGTAAATAATTGTGCTCTTATTCTTTCTTTCTGTGTCATTTCCTTAAAGGTATACTGATATTTTGAAGTAGGTTTTATTCATGTTGTTAGTTGTAATGGGGAGTGTTGGCTGACTTTTTACCAGATATGTGTTTTTGTTTGCATTTCATTCTGCTTGGACAATGAAACTAAACTTGCTGGTAAGTATCGTGTCGCTTCCTTTTTTCATAGTTCCGTGCTTTAATTTAGGGCTGTTTGTGTCCTCATAATCGATGGGCTGGGTCGAAACGCAGCGGGTTTTTTCTGACTTCAGAAGGAAGAAAAACATTTCTTTATTTAAAAAAAAGCCCATTTTTTTACTGGTTATAAACTTCAGTAGTCTGAGTTTTATTATACTTATATTAATTTAGCTTATTATGTTTTTATAATACTGTTTGATCTACCTGGTTGGTGGAACTGTACTGTTCTACTCTTTCACTCAATCCTTAGGTCAATGAAGCAGAGTTTTCTGCTGTGAATTAAAAAATGTGTTTTATACAAATCCTTAAATGTGAAGAACGTGGTGGTGCATTTAAAACTAGAGTTTCAGTCTGTTCGTTTGTGGTATTTTAGTTAAGGTGAAGAGCTCGACTAGTCTGTCCTGTGATCAGTCACACTGCACAGCGATTGAATTTATTTCCTTTGCTCTTCCTAGGACATGAAAGTTACATCACCTTTTGCCACTTGGAGAACGAGGCAGCCTTCACGTGTAGCGCAGATCATACCATTCGAAAGTGGGATGTGATGACAGGACAGTGCCTGGCCATTTACCGAGGACACACATCAATTGTGAACAGGTTGGTTCCGTGGAGTTCTCCCCTTGTGTTCCTGTAAGCTGTTTCCACATATACTGTCATTTTACTGCAATTCTCCATTACTACACTAATAAAATGGGTTGTGTAAACCTTTGAGTTCATGCTACACGTGTTCTGTGCTGTAATGATCAGTTTTCCTAGCAACAGTGCTGACACATCCATGGACAGCAGATAGGAGAGAAATTAAAGGCACACAGCAGGGGAATTGAGTCCAGGGCTAGGAATGACATTCCAGAAGAAATTATTCAATTGATAGCAGATGCTTCTGATAAATAGATTTAAAAACATCACGTCAAGCCTTTGTGTCAGGAAGAGGGATAAAGTCAGGGCTTTCTCTGGAATTACTGTTCCTGTTTGTGCAAATGAAGTTTCATATTAAACTGATTGTGCGTGACTGATTGGCCTGTCAATTTAAAGTGCCTCTTAGTAGCTGGACTGGATTTAATTAACGACAAAGAGAGCACTCAAAGATCGGTACTACTTTTTAACATTTCTTTTATGGTGTTGGGTGGGTTTTTTGTTCCTTACTAAACTCAAAACACATATGAGGTGTAGCTAGATTCTGTAAATAGTTAGGAAGGCTGGCGCTCTCTGTGTTTTGGCACTGGCCTGATTTTTTTGCTTGAATCAGCAGATGGGAAATGTGTTCTGTATTCCTATGGTTTTGTTGCCAGTTTGAAAGGTTCCAGAGGACCAAACTTGGCTGACAAAGATGACAGGTTATGATGTTCTTTATCTCTGGTTTGGAAATACAAACTGTAGAGCTTTTTCTGGTGTTAGGTGTTTGTGCAGCTACAACTCGTTATTTTGGAGGCCCAGTAAATTGAATTCTGGAGATGTAATCTCTCATTTGCGCTTCAGTATGTAAAAAGTGGGGTGCTCTTGCTCTACCTTTTTTGAGATCCTGGGCTGAGTGAAATTAGGTGTATATTTTTTTCCTGCACTCTCTCTGTTTGCTGATGGAAAGGTGATTATCTCTGCACACTGTTGGTTACAGTGCAGGTTCCTGGAATGTATTTTTTTTTATTTTAATTCCAAGCTATTTTGATAGGTCAGTTTACAGAGAATTATTTGTAAAGAAATACTGATAAATAATTATCAGGAATTAGTTCTTTTTTTTTAAAAATTAAAACAAACCACAACAAGCTTTTAGCTAATACCTGTAACTTACAAAAAGTATCTAATAGTGCTGTGGGAAAAGATTTTAGAAAACCGTAAATGTCCGAAGTTACAATGCTGTAGTGTAAAAATGTCTGCATCAATGTACCTGAATAAGGGCTTTCAATTTTAAAAGTAGAAACAGCAAAGTATTTGATGGTGGTTTTTAAAAAAATAATTCATAACTAATGTACATTAAACGGCAATACTGAATTTGGGTTGTATATGTTGTGTTCATGCCGCTGTCTCTAACTTCAGGATGCTTGGCTTGCTTACATGGTTATGTAAGAAGAGCAATGCTGTTCATACACACCAACCTTATTTTTTGCAGGATCCTGGTTGCCAAGGACTATCTCTTCAGTGGCTCCTATGATAGGACGGCTCGCTGTTGGAGTGTGGACAAGGAGAAACAAATCCAGGAATTCCGGGGCCATCGGAACTGTGTCCTGACTCTAGCTCACTATTCCTCCAGGGATGTTCTTGAAGAAGAGGAGGAGGAAGAGGAGGAGGAGGAGAAAGTGAGCAGAGACCTCCTGGTGACAGGTAGCACAGACTGCACTGTTAAGGTCTGGTGGGTGTCCAGTGGGCGCTGTTACCAGACTCTGCTGGGACACACTGGGGCTGTCTTATGCCTTATACTTGACGCACCAAACAGGGAGCTGTTCTCTGGCAGCACGGATTATACCATTCGAACGTGGAATATTGTCACTGGTGAGCAGCTGAAAGTGTTCAAAGAGCATCAAGGATCAGTAATTTGCCTAGAGGTAAGAACACAGGCTTCTTCAAGAGGTGTTCAGAGCAGGTATCTGTATCCTAACTCACGTGGGTCTCAGTTGTCTTTTCATAAAGAAGCTCAGACAGGTTATAAATGGTAAGCTTAAACATTCAGGTAATAACAAAATAATAGTGCTCTGTGGTCTTGAGACAAATCCTCTTTCC